CTGTTCTTAACCTGAAACTGTTCTCAACCTGAAGTACCACTTTAGCTAATGGGGCCTCTTGCCGCTGCCGTGCAACTTCTGTTCTCATCCTGAAGCAAAGATCTTAACCCGAGGTACTATTTCTGGGTTAGCGGAGTCTGTAACCTGAAGCGTATGTAACCTGAAGCATATGTAACCCAAGGTACCACTGTACCGCACAGTTACATATTTCTTATAAAGTTTCTGTTAACTTCCCTACAAACTTATATTTATACAATGCAAGGTTCAGTTTAACCCATGAGCCCTTTCTATACACATGTCTCCTATCCACAGGTTGGCAGTCATGCTGCCCCCACCATCCCTGGGCACCTGGACCAGGGCGACCCCACCACCACTCAGCCATCCCAAGTCCTCTCCTTCCTCTTCCTCATGGTGATCCCCTCAAGGCACGACCTGACTTCCCTTCACCCGCCTTATCCCTCCCCACTCGCTTCCTCCAGCACCACAGACTTCCCTGCCACCTCTGGCTAGAGCAGCCGGAGTAAGGAGGAAGAAGGGACACCTCAGTGGCCTGCAGGTGGGCCTCAGCATCGCCCACAGCGGCCTCCGCTGTGGGGAGGAGCAATAGCACGGTCATGTCAGGGTTGGGGTGAAGCAGGAGGAGAAGGGTTGTTTGGTTTGTGCCAGGCCACTGGGAAGTTGTTTGAGGGCTCTGGGAAAAAGATGCCGGAACGCCACTCCGGTGTGCTCCAGCTGAGAAAAGCCCTAATCAAATCTATTTTAGATTTGACTAAAGAAAGGACAGCACAGTGCGTTGGTTGGGATGAAACACTAAATCGCAGCTTGCTTTTTGAGCAAAGCCTGGGGCTCCTACGTCCCCATTTGCCATTCCCTCCTTCTGTTGCCTCCTCATTTGCCTTTACATCCGAATTGGATAAAGGATGGTTTGTGGTGACCATAATCGGCCTGCACACCTGGAATTGCATGCTGCACTCAGAACTGTGGTTTACAGTTCGGAGCATATGCAGGCAGAAGGCAAGGCAAGGGAGCACCTGAAATGAAGGCTCTCTCGCCTAATGCCAAACCATGGTCTGAATTTGGTCTAAACTAGTTCTGTAGTAGGGGTGAGGCACTTCATACCTCTGTATCCAGCCCTTATTATTCTCTCTTGGCTATGCCTCTGCCCCAAGACACATCCTGCTGTACCAGACTTTTGCCATGACCTTTTATTTACTTATTTATGTTGCAATACATATATGAAATCTATACATATACATTTATGATACTTACACATTATATTTGTAAATTCGTATTTTCACATTTCATTACGTACCAATATTTATCCATTTCTTATTTCTTGCCCTGCGTCTTCCCTCCACCCGAGCGTGACTTCCTTGTTATTATTTTGTAACTTTATTATTGAGATTGTATTTTTGTATCTAAATAATTAAACATTCATTCTTATATATCTGCTTAACTTAACTTTGTGAAATCAGTCTATACATATCAACACATTCTTGTTAGAGCATCTTTTGGTCATGTATTCTTCTACACATTTCCATTCCTGTTTGAGATTTTGATTAGATTGCATTCTAATTGTTGCCGTCATTTTTGCTAATTCAATCATTTCAAAAAAATTATGTTGCCAGTCTTTCAATGTTGGTACTTCTTCTGATTTCCAATTTTTTGCAATCTATAACCTTGTGACGGCTGTTGCATATAAAAAGATTCTCTTCATGTCTTTGGGGGATGTCATTTGTTATAATTCCTAAAAGGAATGCTTCTGGCTTCTCACCAATTGCTGTTTTAAACATTTTTTTCAGTCCTTCATGTATATTTACAAAAAAATAATAATAATTTTATCACATCCCCACCAGACATGATATAAGAATCCCTCTGATACCTTACATCTCCAACACAAATTCGATGTTAGTTTATAAATTTTAGCCAGTTTTACAGGAGAGGTCTGGGGTTGGGTCTCTGTGTCTGGAAACTTCTCACTTTTGTGTGGCTGGGATGTACTTCAGTCTTCAAAGGTAACATTCATAGCCATTGCTCCTTCTACTTTCCCCTCTGAGCCCACCCACCAAAGGAAGGTTGTCCACGAGAGCCTGAAAAAAATGTTCCCCACCTTTGACTCTACCAGATTCAGAGCTACAGTAAGGGCAAGCTCTGCTTTTAAACCCAAGTTTTGTGATGTATTGAACGCAGATTGTAGCCCGAGCAGTCCTGTATTGCATAAGGGAAGAGGGAAAGTGAGAGCAATGTGTCTCCGGCATCCTCATCTCTCTGCCCCTGTGATGTAACAGTTTAGGAATCTGAGCTACAGAAGGAGGGGGAAATGGAAGTTCTGTACCAGCTTGTGTAATGTAAGGAGTTAGAGACAGTAATTTCAGTGGAAACACTTCCTTCTCCCACTCACCTCCCTTCAAGGCATGCTTTTCAAGGGAACAAAAATATTGGGCAATTTCTTTGTGAAATCCTGTTCCTTGTAATTAGTGTTGGATCTATTCCATTAATATTTCACAAGTCATTCACTTAAAAAAATTGTTGCTGCTTGCAAATGTTATTTCATTATCTGTTTCTGTTTCTTAAGCTGCACAAGTAATGCTCTCTTCAATTATGCTGCTGGTTATTATCTGAAATCTCCTAGGGAGCAGTTTGGGTTTAACATATGCATTTCTAATATTAAAGAGTCGTTAACATTAAGGCAGTACAGTGTTCCATTAGTGGAGAGTTTAATTCTGCTCCTAATTAGATACTTAGGAATACTTGCTCCCAGAATATTTCTTTTGAAACCAGAGCTGACTCAGTGAGATCCTGAAACTATAGAATAATAGAAGATAATCTTACATTCTAGGTGCTCAGTATGATTGGTGTCAAATGCTTCAACTGTAGCAATGTGGTCTAGATATTTGGTCAAGTCATTTACTTTATGACTAAAACCTCTTTGGAGAAATTGTGAGCAAATGAAAGTATGCAATAAAATACATAGGTTTGCAGGAAGGCAGCCTAGTGTTGGACTTAATGTCAGACTTCCTCTCCCATCAACCATTGGCCATGTTGACTCAGGCTGATGCAAGTTGGTGCTCAACTATCTGGGGAACCACATGTTAACCATGCCACCGACCTAGGACATTCATTGTATATCCATGTTCATGGCCTCCCACAAGCAGGTATTGGGGGCATGCATGTGCCAGGCCCCATGTCAACAGGGCCCCCGATTCTTCCTTAAAATAAAAAAAGGTAAGTTAAGTGGACATTTCTGAAGAAAGTTAGAGCACAAAAGTGAAGGCAACTTTACTGATTCGGCACTCTTAAAACCATAATAATAGAATCTTAGAATTGGAAGGGACCCTGAGGATCATCTAGTCCAACCCTGAGACAAACCATCTTGTAAAAAGCAAAAATAGCATTTACTCTCTCAGAATACTTGTTGAAGAGTAACAGATACAGCAGCTTTGTTCAGGCAGGCTTAACATAATAATCCAGTTACAAAGACATAGTTGTGTAGTTTAAAATGAAGTCTGAGCTGTGGCTCAGACTTAGCATATGTTCTACATTGCTGGAATGAGATGAAAGAGCAAAAAGGGAAAAGGAAGAGCCCAGGCAGGTGAGGAGATTATATATTAGGGTTGCCATATTCCCCAAAGTGAAAATCCAGTCATTTCAGGAATCATTTTATTATATAGGGCTATGACCTCCCATTTCAGGAGGAGTGGGTATCAGAGTTCTTTCTAGCAAACTTACAGGAAAACTCTGTGAGCTTCAACTCCTATCATGTGCCTATCTAGCAAACGTGCGTTGTTGGCTTGACTGCATCGTAAATACCCCACAAGTTCAATGCTGGTGATGGGGGAGGTCCTCCATTGCACCTGAGGACACAGGACAGGCTGGCTGTCACACACAGTTCTGCCCTCCCTCATACCTCATGCCTTCTGCCTGCCCCTCCCCACCCCCCAATTCGCTGCCTGAGGTGGCAGCCTCGCTCTCCTCATTATTATGGCCAGCCAATCCTCACTTTGATCCAGCCATCTCCAAAGCAGCCAAATCTATAGCTCTTCTCTTAGAAGTCAAGAACAGGGCTGCTGTTTGAAGTGAATGGGCTCGCTGTCTGAGGTTGGGTTTTTGTGTGTGTGTGCCTTGGGCTCGATTCAGAGAGTGAAATAGATGCTTTCCTTCTTGGCTGGAAGCTGTCTGAGTCCTTTACTGAACAACGAGGGAAGGCCTGCCAAGGAAGTGTGTGCTCTTGGCAATGTCAACACTGCCCTAGTTTAAGAAATTGGATGGCAGGCAGCTACACTCACTTCAACCGTGACTTCAGGATGGATGAGAGGGCAGTTGCTCAGGACACATGCCTCACTTGAGATTTAAATTTAAATCTTTGTAGCACGAGCACAACGGACCGGATGTGATTGCGTTTTTTCAGCACTCCCCCTGGCTTCTTGACAAACTGTGTGGTGACAATACCTGGAAAGGAGGGCAAGAAATAACCTCTGTATTGTTTTTGCCCCTTCCTCTCTTTAAGATAAAAATAAACACAGGGGAAGTGCCATTCCAATGACTTTGCATTGGCATCATTTCAGAGGCTCAGGCCTCGCTACTCACAGGGGTTTCTCCTGGGAATGGTGCAGGAGGATAAAGGAAACAGCCCTGAAGTTCTGGCCACATGTACAACTATCACCCTGTTGGACAGAAGCCCTGGGTGTGTTGAAGGTGCCACTAGCTCCTGGTTCTCTGGGAACAAGTTACAGTGGTACCTCGGGTTACATACGCTTCAGGTTACATACGCTCCAGGTTACAGACTCTGCTAACCCAGAAATAGTGCTTCAGGTTAAGAACTTTGCTTCAGGATAAGAACAGAAATCGGGCTCCGGCGGTGCAGCAGCAGCAGGAGGCCCCATTAGCTAAAGTGGTGCTTCAGGTTAAGAACAGTTTCAGGTTAAGTACGGACCTCCGGAATGAATTAAGTACTTAACCTGAGGTACCACTGTAGTTCCCCTGAGGCTAAGTTGGCAGACATGGAAAAAGTAAGGGAGGCAGAGACAGTGATGGATGAGGCCTTCAGGGACATTATAGCTGTGCCCCATTCCCACGATGATAACTCTCCTGGAGTCAGGGAGAAGGCAGGTTTCAGGGAAGGAGAGTAGCATTTTGAGGAAGAATGAAACTTAGAAGGCACTCATTCCGTGGGGGACATAGAGCTATCCTCTTGCGCCTTTCTTTATCCTGGGGGGTGGGTCCAGGTTCCTCACCCCCGATTTGTCCTCCTTGCTATACAGTGGTAACTCAGGTTACATACACTTCAGGTTACATATGCTTTAGGTTACAGACTCCGCTAACCCAGAAATAGTACCTCGGGTTAAGAACTTTGCTTCAGGATGCTTCAGAAATTGTGGTCGGGCGGCGCGGTGGCAGTAGGAGACCCCATTAGCTAAAGTGGTGCTTCAGGTTAAGAACAGTTTCCAGTTAAGAAAGGACCTCCGGAACGAATTAAGTACTTAACCCGAGGTACCACTGTACTAGGAGATAACTCTGGCTAAGCTGAGAGTCAATGGCTTGTCCAAGGCCATTAAAACAAAATGTGGTATTTCAAAACAAATTTGGGTTTCAAATGCATCATGTTCTCCAGCGTCATGTTTTCTTTTGCTTTATTCAGGAGAGGCGAGCAGAATGAGAGCAGATGTATTTCTAGCTGCCATCTTGTATCTTCTGTCCAGCAACGGGCCATGTCATGGGACTGCACCTTCAGAGGAGGAGGAGGAGGAATATGGAGAGGCTGTCGGTAAGAGATCTGACTACAGCGCATTGAAATCAAGCGCCCCTGTTTAGCTGAATAACATGGCACCGCGTTGGGCCAAGTTGCACATAAACTTTGTGGCTTTCTTCCGTTTTCCCTCATATTTGAGCAGTCTGTTTGCAAGAGCAATTCTTTGCCCAGTGAGCATGTGAATAACTTGAAATAAAGTCATACCTTGGTTTTCGAACAGCTTAGCTCTCAAACGTTTTGGCTCCCGAACGCCGCAAACCCGAAAGTGAATGTTCCGGTTTGCAAACTATTTTTGGAAGCCAGGTGTCCGAAGGGCTAACACAGCTTCCGAGCTTCCTGCAGCCAATCGGAAGCCACGCTTTGGTTTCCAAATGTTTTGGAAGTCAGACTTCCGGAACGGATTCCGTTGACTTCTGACGTATGACTGTACTAAAACCCATAACCTTATTAATTTGAGCTAGGAATGGAGGAGAATTTTGCTTGGTCCAAATTTCCAAGTCAACTGACTAAATGCACACATCTTGTATGTCAGCACCCGGGGCAAGGCAAGTAATTTGCGCCCCCTAACCCGTGGATTTGCGCCCCCTAACCTGTGGATTTGCGCCCCCTAACCCATGGATTTGCCCTAACCCCAGATGTTGCGCCCGGTGCGGCCGGCCCCCCCTGCACCCCCCACGCTACGCCACTGTCTTGGACTAATACACAGATCAGAACATCATTTGGATTGTGCACTTCAATGAATTTTGCGATGGAACTATTGGCTCGTTAAAAAATGCACCCAAATGCTTAAACATATATTTAGAAATATGTAAAATGAGATACACACAGGTCTTGGTATCCGAACACAATGCGTTCTCCAAGAATATTTTTTCTGGCAAGTGTTCACATAACGAGTTGATGATTTCCATTGATTCCTATGGGAACGTTTCCGATGTATTCCTGGTAATGGAATTCTGACCCCAAAATGACCAAAACAAAAAAGCCCAGGAAAATCCTCTGAAATTTGCAAAAGGCAAATGGGGAAAGAAAAAATTTTCTCTTATTGTGTGATCTCTCCCCCTCCCACCCCCTTCCCAGCAAAACACCCCAAAGTAGGACTTGTTAAAAGCTGCTTATTTGGTCTGGCTGTTGGGATATCTGAATCTGCAGTGTGCATAGCGAGGTTTGGGTGCTAATTCCTCGTGTTTGGATAAGTGAATTTTCATACAACGAGCGTTTGGATAGCAAGACCTGTGCGTACATATTTTCTGTTAAAATTTAACGGCATATTTAAGTGTGAAATTTCTTAAAGAATTTTTTTAAAAAACACAAATTAACGTAGAAATAAGATGGAACAAGAGGGACGCGGGTGGTGCTGTCAGTTAAACCACAGAGCCTACGGCTTGCCGATCAGAAGGTCGGCAGCTCGAATCCCCGCGGTGGGGTGAGCTCCCGTTGTTCGGTCCCAGCTCCTGCCAACCTAGCTGTTCGAAAGCATGTCAAAGTACAAGTAGATAAATAGGTACTGCCCCGGTGGGAAGGTAAACGGCGTTTCCGTGCGCTGCTCTGGTTTGCCAGAAGTGGCTTAGTCATGCTGGCCACATGACCCGGAAGCTGTACGCCGGCTCCCTCGGCCAATAAAGCGAGATGAGCGCCGCAACCCCAGAGTCAGCCACGACTGGACCTAATGGTCAGGGGCCCCTTTACCTTTAAGATGAAACAGATTTTTGAATAAGAACTTGTGAAATTGACATGGAATGGAAATAGGTTGATTCCTCTGTCCCTAATCTGTACCAAACCAAAAAAACAGCAAAAGATAGACAATTACTATGGAACGGCACTGGGGATAAAGCCCAAAGCCACAAAATATGCATGATGTGGGTTTTTTACAAAAATTCCTGGGTGCACGTTATTTTGTGTGCTACAAAGAGAGCACTGAGGTGCTAGATCATGTCCAGCAACCTTTATCCTGGCCCGCCCCCAGCTGCATTTCCCAAAGGGAATAAGTCACAGCAGTCAAAATGCCTTTTTTTGTAAATGGGAAGGCCTGTGAAGTATTAGCATCGCAGTTTGACAATTGGGCTCATCTAACAGGAAAAGCTTTCAGCAAAGTATGCCTGGGTGGCTGGCAAGTTGTCAAATCAAGCTGAAGGAGGGGACAAAGAAGAAGGTCATCTTCTCTCTGTGTGACAAGCTGTTTTCCCTTGATAAAGTTCATCAGCAAAATGTATTTGGTAAGAGCCTTGCATTTACAGCTGTGCAGAATGCATATACATGGGAATAGCCCTTCCTATAAAAGAAGCAGCTGGCCAACAGAAGAACAGACCACAAAAAGACGTAGCGACTCGTACCCATTTGAAATCAATTGTTCCAATCTAAAGCCCGTTGTACACAAATGGATGTGCAGAATTAAATTGCTGCCGCATTCTGGAAAGAGATTTGCTTTGGCTGGGTAGTTTTGTTTTATTAGACATTCTCAAAAGAGAGGGGTAGAGGAGATGCGAGGCTGCTTTTCTTGTGATAGCCACGTGTAAAGTCTACTTTTCAGCATTCTGCCATAAGCTCCAATACAGTGGACCCTCTATATTATATTTCATGAACTGTGCTGTGTATAGTCAATGGACACGGATGGCGCTGTGGTCTAAACCATCTGGGCAGCTTCCAGCAAAATATAAAAAATAATAAAATGCCTGACATTAAAAACTTCTCTAAACAGGGCTGCTTTCAGATGTTTTCTAAAAGTTGTGTAATTCTTTACAGTGGTGGAACTTCATGCTCCAGCCCTTGGGGGCGGAGAGCAGGCAGGGACGGGCCTGGCGTGCATCCCGGAGGCATGGCGCACCACTGACAGGGATGTGGTGCATGTCCTGGGGGCATGGTATGCCGCCTGCGGAGACGTGGTGTCCAGTGTGGACGGGGGAACAGCCACTATGGCACCCCACTGGGATTGCACTGCCAGGGGCGGTGCGCTCCCCCCACAAGTGATTCTTTATCTCCCTGACATCTGATGGGAGGGCACCACTGCCTAGAAGACCCTCTGCCTGGTGTGTATATAGCATTTTTGGATTGCTCTTTGGGATGTGACTGTAGACTTGGCGACGTGTCTGTGGAGGTCGTCACCATGAACTCTTGCACTTTAAAACTGACCGCTGCACTGCCTTGTTCCCAATGAATTGTATAATATTATAGGATAATTGTCAGCTGATGTCATCTACTCTCAAGACTAAATTACAAATCTACTACATTTTTAAGTTGCACGCAAGCAACTGTCCAGGCCTTTGTTCCCTGGGGCCAGTGAGTCCGCAGTGATTCCTGAAATGGCCCGTGTTTTGTTCCTCTTTGCAGCTTATTTCTCTGGGAGCTTCCCCATGACTAACAGAAGCAGAATAAGTTCTGCAAACTGAGGCAGCAGTTATTCCCAGATGACTTCATGAGACAGCATTTTAAGCTCAGTCCTCAGGGGGGTAGGACATATTTTTTAAAACAACAACAACAGCATTTAGAGAGCCACCCAGTTTCTTGCCGGTTTCTCGTGGCTTTTATTGCTATGGAAGTGTTGGCTGCTATGCATGTGTTGGTTCAGATTTGTTGGAGCCCATAGGGAGAAGTAAGGCAGAAAGTGTGTAAATTTTGAGGAAGGGAAACTGAAAATCAAGCATGTATGTTGGCGGAAATAAGGCAGAGCTAGGATGCCGGTCCTAATAAGTCCCACAGAGACCATGCCGTACGCCAGGGGTGCAAATTGACGAAGACGAATGTTATAAATAGTTTAACGGTTTAGCCTCCACTGAATTGCAAAAGCAATCTCAGACTGGTTTTTTTTTGGGGGGGTGAGCTATCTTTTCAGCATGCTCGCTGCATCCTAGAATGACACTGAGTACACTGGAAATAATGGAAGCATGGAAGAAATAGCAATTGCTACATAAGAGATGAAGATAAGTTGCTGCATCTCAAAATGAGGTCCTCTTGGACTGCAAGTTCTGGAAGGCTTATACAGTGGTACCTCAGGTTAAGTACTTAATTCGTTCTGGAGGTCCGTTCTTAACCTGAAACTGTTCTTAACCTGAAGCACCACTTTAGCTAATGGGGCCTCCTGTTGCTGCTGCGCTGCCAGAGCACGATTTCTGTTCTTATCCTGAAGCAAAGTTCTTAACCTGAAGCACTATTTCTGGGTTAGCGGAGTGTGTAACCTGAAGCGTATGTAACCCGAGGTACCACTGTAGAGCCCTTTGCTTCTTTTATTTACAGTGGTACCTTGGTCTCAAACTTAATCCATTCTGGAACGCCGTTCCAAAACCAAAGCTTTCCAAAACCAAGGCACACTTTCCCATAGAAAGTAACGCAAAATGGATTCATCCGGTCCAGACTTTTAAAAACAACCCCAAAAAAACAGCAATTTAACATGAATTTTACTATCTAACGAGACCATTGATCCATAAAATGAAAGCAATAAGCAATGTACTGCAGTCACACAATCAATCAATCAATCAGTAGCTGAACTGGGTTCCACACAGTCACAAAAACAAAAACAAAAGAGCCGCAAAAACAAAAACGCAAAATAAATAGCAATAACAGACAGATCTTAGCGCAACACTCAAAACGGAAGTGTGGCACGCAAATCAGAAGTGTGGTACTCAAATCGGAAGTGTAACACTCAAAACAGAGCAAGTTCGGCTTCCGAAAAAAGTTCACAAACCGGAACACTTACTTCTGGGTTTGCAGTGTTTAGGTTCCATGTTGTTTGAGAACCAAGGTGTTTGAGAACCAAGGTACCAGTGTATTTATATTTGTTGCAATATTCTAATCAATGCTTCTTTTTAAAAATAAGTAACAGCGTGTTAGGGACGCAGGTGGCGCTGTGGGTTAAAGCCTCAGCACCTAGGACTTGCCGATCAAAAGGTCGGCAGTTCGAATCCCTGCGGCGGGGTGCGCTCCTGTCGTTCGGTCCCAGCGCCTGCCAACCTAGCAGTTCGAAAGCATCTTCGGGTGCAAGTAGATAAATAGGGACCGCTTTCTAGCGGGAAGGTAAACGGTGTTCCGTGTGCTGCGCTGGCTTGCCAGAGCAGCGATGTCACGCTGGCCACGTGACCTGGAAGTGTCTGCGGACAGCACTGGCTCCCGGCCTATAGAGTGAGATGAGCGCACAACCCTAGAGTCTGGCAAGACTGGCCCGTACGGGCAGGGGTACCTTTACCTTTACCTTTAACAGCGTGTTAATTTTTAAAGGAAAAGAAAGAAAATTGGCATCTAGCACCAGCTCAAAGGTATGTGAGGCTGGGTCTATGGCTTAGGGATAGGGCCCTGAAGCTATTTACTGAGTAGTGGACAGCCTAGTTGGGTGGAGGCACTTACCCAGGCATAGGCAAACTCGGCCCTCTGGATGTTTTTGGGACTACAACTCCCATCATCCCTGACCACTGGTCCTGTTAGCTAGGGATGATGGGAGTTGTAGTCCCAGAACATCTGGAGGGCCGAGTTTGCCTATGCCTGCACTTGCCTGACCTCCCAGCAAGGGTGCCCCTGCTGTTTACTAGGAGTGCAAGGGGAAGACAGCAGCCTGGTCAGTATGGTGCAGACACACCAGCAGAGCCAATGCAGAGTGCTCCTGCAGGTATGTGTTTGCACCACACAACACACCCCACCATCTCAACTAGCTCCCCACCACCACTCCTGGTACCATACCCTCCAAGTGTCCCTATTTAGCAGGGACAGTCCCGGAATTACAGAAGGCATCCCGGTTTCTGATTTGATCCCAGAACGTCCCGGTTTTCCTTTTTCCTCCCTCCACATCTCAGAGAACAATTAAAAGGTTCGAGAGGCTCAGAGGGTGGCAACACGAGAACCGGCCTTTTCTGCAGTGCCCCCCCCCCCCGTGGAATGCTCTCGCCAGGGAGGCTTGCCCGGTGCTATCATTATAGATATTTAGATACTAGGCAAGAACTTTCCTCTGCAACCAGGCCTTTGGCTGATTGACATCCAATGCCCCTTTAAAATGTACTGGGGGGATTATTAAGTTGTTCTTGTTTTTATTTGTGTTATGTATTTTGTGTTTTTATGGTGTGATATTACCTTGTGAACTGCCATAAGACCTGTAGGTATAGGGCAGTATAAATAATAATAATAATAATAATAATAATAATAATAATAATAATATGCAGTTCTGTAAAGTTCTTGCAGATTTTTTATTTGAAGGGTGTGCTCACAGAACTCCGCCTTCACAAAACTGTAAAGGGGCACACAACCCTGGGGAAAATTTCTAAGGTCTATTTAAGAGCAGCTGCTTCCTTTTAAACTGCATCTAATTCCCAAATTGGCTTTTTAAAAACTAGGTCCTGTATCAATTTGTGGCCTGTCAGCTTCTTACTAGGAAACTGCAAAAACTGTGGCTGTTGGCTTTAGATCTGGATGTTCCAGTGAGTCTGTTGAATTTATGACTCCCTGGTGTGTTATTTTCTGGGGTGATGCTGCCCTCTGGAGAACATTTGGTGCTCATCAGCATTCAGGTACGATGTGGCACATTTTACATATCTGTAACCCCCTGCAAGAAAAACGGGTGTGCATTTAGAGCCCAAAGTACCATTTGCATAATTTTTTATTTGTTAGATTTCTTACCCACCCTTAACCAGAAGGCTCCAGGGCAGGTTACGTCAATGAAATGGGCAATCTTGAAACAAAGAAAATGGTTGCAACTATACAACAGGAAAAGTGTAAAAATAGGCTCAATATATAAAACAATTATATTTTTTTTAAAAAAATTAAAATTCAGTGTATAAAAACAATGCAAATGTTGAAAAACAATTCCACATATAAAAACAGTTAAAAATACTGGAATTGGTGCCACACTGTCTAATGCAGGGGTTGGCAAACTAGGGTCCATGGGCCACAAACAGCCACGGGGGTCATTTAATCAGCCCACGAGCCACCCCCGAACCAAGCCGCCCGCCCAGCAAGTCCCTGTGCACTGCACTAAACCGATGCAGCGCAGCTTGGGGACTTGCTTTTGCAGTACTGGAAATCATATCTGCACATGCACAGATGCCGGAAATCGCGTCTGCGCAGACGCCAGAAATCGCTGGCATGCACGCTCATGTGCACGCGCAATCAGGCCCACGGAGGGATCTCCACTGGAGTGAACCAGCCCAGGTCGACCCCTGATCTAATGTAATCCACAAATGCTGATCTATATTTCACTGTTTTTTGTAGCATGGCTTGAACACCCAGGTCTCTCTCTTACCTATCAGTGGTAAAAGGTAAAGGTAAAGGGACCCCTGACCTTAGGTCCAGTCGTGGCTAACTCTGGGGTTGCGGTGCTCATCTCGCTCTATAGGCCGAGGGAGCCAGTGTACAGCTTCCGGGTCATGTGGCCAGCATGACTAAGCCGCTTCTGGCGAACCAGAGCAGTGCACGGAAATGCCGTTTACCTTCCTGCCGGCGCTGGAGTTAGAAATGGCGTTTATAAGTGGATTATGATATGATTATGATTCCTTCACCTTCCTCCAGGTCCTGCTTGGCCTCCACTGAAACTGGGCGTGTCCATCTGTGCCTTCAAAGCGGATGGTGGGCCCTGCAAAGCATTGCATGTCCGGTATCACTTTGACATCCAAACCCGCCAGTGTGAAATCTTTAACTATGGTGGATGCGAAGGCAATGAAAACAACTTTCTGACTCTAGAGGAGTGCCAGCTAAAGTGCATAGTACCAGGTCAGTACATGTCTTCCTCCATTTCTCTCTTTCTTTAGGTTAAATGCAGCACATTTTCCTCCCATCGGATCCTTATAGGAAATGTTATTTCACTTTATGAATTGGTACCTGGGTTTGCTTTTCTCCCTCTTCTCTCCCCTCTTTCTTTCCCCCCTATATTTTAAGACAGTCTTTTTTAAAACTGATTGCATGTTAGCGCTTCCAGGAGCCTTTTTGCTGAAGTGCAAATACTTATAAGTAATATAAGTAAACAAATAACTGATACATCACTTCATGTCTGGGACACGGGTGGCGCTGTGGTCTAAATCACAGAGCCTAGGGCTTGCTGGTCAGAAGGTTGGCAGTTCGAATCCCCGTGACGGGGTGAGCTCCTGTTGTTTGGTCCCAGCTCCTGCCCACCTAGCAGTTCAAAAGCATGTCAAGGTGCAAGTAGATAAATAGGTACCGCTCCGGCGGGAAGGTAAACAGCGTTTCCGTGCGCTGCTCTGGTTCGCCAGAAGCGGTTTAGTCATGCTGGCCACATGACCTGGAAGCTCTCTGCAGACAAACGCCGGCTCCCTCAGCCTATAGCTCGAGATGAGCGCCGCAACCCCAGAGTCGTCCGCAACTGCACCTAACGGTCAGGGGTACCTTTACCTTTACACTTCATGTCTAGTATTGGAGGCAGCCAATGGGAGCAGCAGGTTTTCAAATGGCAGGACTGACTACCATGTTGTTTGCATCAGAGGGCATCAGAGGAGGGAGGGAAGGAAAGAGGGACAGAGGCCAGTTTTGCCCATGGCATCCCTGACCATCATTCAAGGCACGCTAGTGTGCCATGGCACAATGGTTGAAAACCATTGGTCTAGACTCTAGAGGGTGACAACTGGATGTCAGCTTCCTCTTTAGAACTCAACAGGGAAGCAGAATTAGTGCCTCTGCCTCTTGCTGGCTCTGGCATAGCTAGCCATGTCATCTGTCGCCACCTACTGTGGGCCTCCCTGCCTTTCACCCTACCAGTTCTAATGAGCACACTCATTAGACTCTTACATGCGTAGTTTTTAAACTTAATACTTTATCAAAGGCTTATCACTTGATGACTGAAAAAGTGAACTGCTCCCACTGAAATTGGTTCCCTTGGAAGTGACAACAGATTACCCTGAAGCCCTTACTCTGGTGTGGAATGGGACCATTTTACAAGTGTCAGTCATCATGTGACAAGCATGTGGCGTGTGAACCAAACGCAGACATTGCAGTGCTCACACAAGTGAATCAATTCAAAGGCAAAACGTCAGCTGTGTTTGGAGCATCCTTTTAGCAAAAGAGGAAACGAGCAAAGCAAATGTGGTTATTATCAGGCCAACGGAAAGCTAAGAGCTGCTTAAGGCATTTGGCTCAATTCTTGGATATGAAGAAAAGCTGGGGAAAACCCATTAAAACATATCATTATAGCACACTGTTTCTTAAACTGATGGAGAGGACTGACAACTTGCCCCCTAATGTTCCACGAATGGGTACCATATTTGGTTCGTGAAGCATCCCACCCACTTTGACTAGCGCCATTATAGCAGGTTGCCCTTTTTGCTTTCTATGTGATCATGAAAGCTGCAACAAAGCAAATACACACATAAACACAAACACACACAGTACTGGCAACACTTGTAGGCAAGCAAATTCAAATTGTAGATTAGCTTTTGACAATCAGCCAGGAATTCATTGTGTATGGGTTAGGCTCGTGTGTTGGAACACTCCAGCTGGTCTCTGGATTCAGGTTTCAGCTGAAATATCAAATCCCGTTACTGCTCTCATTCACTCCTCTTCTTGCATTAATCCCAACATGCCTAGTAGTCCACAGCTGTCAGTACTTCACGTGAGCCTTACTCCTGATCAAATGTCACCTCTGAAAAAATTAAGATGACATGGCTGCACATAAGACAATATTCATGCTGGGGCAGATTTGATCGAATCTACTGTTAAATCAGTTAGATTGTTGTTGCAATCCTGTGCCTAAAAAAAAGGTAAAGGTAAAGGACCCTTGGATGGTTAAGTCCAGTCAAAGGCGGCTGTGGGGTTGCAGCACTCATCTCGCTTTCAGGCTGAGGGAGCCGGCTTTTGACCACAGACAGCTTTCTGGGTCATGTGGCCAGCATGACTAAACAGCTTCTGGTGCAGCAGGACACTGTGATGGAAACCAGAGTGCATGGAAACATCGTTTTCCTTCCCGCCGCAGCGATACCTATTTATGTACTTGCACTGGTGTGCTTTCAAACTGCTAGGTTGGTAGGAGCTGGGACAGAGAATGGGATCATGTACAGTATTTCTAAAATAAAATATGGAATTCTGGAACCATGAGAAATGGTTCAGTGCTATGGGCTATATCATTATGGGCAAAAATATATACTTTTTTTTAGTAAATGTTATTTTTTTTTCCCAGGTCTACACTAAAAACATTTTGTTTCAATTTCAGATGTGCCTGAGAAGAAAAAGAGATCAAAATCTCAGACAGGTAACTGAAAGAAATGTGTTCTATGTGTGTTACCTGTGTTTTGTTTCTTTTTAGCTACTGCTGTTTTTAATCATCTTTTTGATACTTTAAAATACATCTTAGCTGGTTTTTTAATCAATGTTTTAGTTTTGTGATCCTCAGCAGCAGAAAATACGTTGCATGCTTGCTTTGCCCCTATTTGTCTCCCATGCCTTGCCAAAATGCTTAAATTGAGTTAGAGCGTGCCCACTTTTGGTAAACTGCAGTAAGTCCTTCATTAATGGCCATATTGGATTATCTGACACTTTCTCCCCTCAAACAATCTCCATTCGCAGGAAAGCCTCCTTACTGCCTTCTGGAGAATGACCCCGGTATCTGCGAGGATTAATTACCCGGTATTTCTTCAACAAGGAATCGATGAAGTGTGAGAAGTTCCAGTATGGTGGTTGCCTAGGAAACCAAAACAACTTTCATACTTTGAAAGAATGCCAAGATACCTGTGAGGACAACCGTAAGTGGCCTTGTCTTCTGGTACTGTATCTTACAATATCCCTTGGTGCCCATAGTAGATGGCATGATGGTTATACCATGTCAAGAAGGTCCAATCTCTACCTGAAACTGTGATGTCTGCCATGTCTCTTTTCCCCTGAAGACGGATTTTGTTGTACTTACATCACACATTGTCCATCAGTTATCCTTTTCCTAAAGACTTCCCAGTCCATCTCTCTGTGGCATTCTATGCAAACACTGATCGGTTGCATATCCTGATCTTCCACCCAATTTTGTCTCAAGTCTTCCCATATTTGATATTATCTGCTGCTCATAGGTTTATTCTCACTTGGAGATTTGATTGAATATTATACCTTCTAAAATGTTCTCCCAGGCACTTTCACTCTTCTTTTAGCCTCATCTTTATTACTTCTTATTTTCATGGTCATAGATGCTAGTTCTGTATATTCTATCAATTTATTCTGCCACATTTATTTTGTAGGTACCTCTTTTCTTTCCACGTTTTTGGGCATCTCTTTTATGCCAACAGGCCTTTGCAATTGTTTAAAATATCTCTCTGAGTAGCCTGTGGCTTTAATGATCGCTCTGTATTGCTTTTAAACTTTTGTATGTCATTGAAGTTGTGCAAGAGGGTGGCATACAAATACAGTTGTATCTTGGAAGTCGAACAGAATCCGTTCCGGAAGTCTATTCGACTTCCACAACATTCGGAAACCAAAGGGCGGCTTCTGATTGGCTGCAGGACCCTCCTGCAGCCCATCGGAAGACGCAGAGGACATTCAGCTTCCGAAAATCATTCAAAAACGGAAAACTCACTTCCAGGCTTCAATCGTTCAGGGGCCAATTTGTCCGGGAACCAAGGCATTTGAGATCCAAGGTACGACTGTACTTTATAAGTAAATAAATAAATAGGATTGCACTGCATTCAAATCAGTGGGACTTAAATCACAACTAACTTGGCCAATTGATTTTAATGGTACCTAAGCTCAACAATAGTGATGTATGGAAGTGAGAGCTGGACCATAAAGAAGGCTGATCGCCGAAGAATTGACGCTTTTGAATTATGGTGCTGGAGGAGACTCTTGAGAGTCCCATGGACTGCAAGAAGATCAAACCTATCTATTCTGAAGGAAATCAGCCCTGAGTGCTCACTGGAAGGATAGATCGTGAAGCTGAGACTTCAGTACTTTGGCCACCTCATGAGAAGAGAAGACTCCCTGGGAAAGACCCTGATGTTGGGAAAGATTGAGGGCACAAGGAGAAGGGGACGACAGAGGATGGGATGGTTGGACAGTGTTCTCGAAGCCACCAGCATGAGTTTGACCAAACTGCGGGAGGCAGTGGAAGACAGGAGTGCCTGGCGTGCTCTGGTCCATGGGGTCACGAAGAGTCGGACATGACTAAATGACTAAACAACAACAACAACCTCAACAAATTGGGGCTGGAATCCTTCCCCCGTTTACCTAGGAGTAAGCTCTTTCAACTCTGTGGCACTACTTTCCAAATAAACATGGTTAGAATTGCACTGTTACTCTGGATCCAGCCCATTGTTTCCTCTTAGTCTCAGGGCAAGTCGAAGAGGAAGAGGAAGTGATTTAATCCTCAATGAAGAAGTTGGGGGAAGTATTATAAAGTATCAGAATTCTGCACTGCTGAATTTCAAACGGGAATAAACCTTTTGTAAAATGTAACTGAAACATAAATCAGCCTAAAAGAGCAACTTGTGCTTAAATAAAATAGTGAGAAGATGGTTTTGAGTAATGCCCTCTTATTATATGAGTTATACATCAATCATTGTTTTCTCTACTAATTATGCACACTTCTTAAAAGCTTCTTTTATCATTGTTTCATCCCTTTTAGTTCGTTCTGCCAATTCATTGCAAATAACCGACATGCTGGTTAGCACAACGAATAATACTACTCCAGTTGTAAAGCAAGGTATGTATTCAAAATTTAGCATTAAGTACGAATTATAGGGTTCTCTCATCAGCGTGAGATGAAATTCAAAGAGGTACCAGTGCATTAAGAATTGTCTATTGTTGCATTTGTCAGTTATGAGCATGGAAATGGGAACAAACTACCACTTTTGTCAAGTGTAAGTGAAATGTAAATGAACCTAAAATAGAAACTTATTTCCATGATACCTTTCTCTCCTGTACGGCACTGATATGCAAATATGTTTTGATAAAACATACCGAAAAAGCTCAGGCTTGATGTGAATATATATGGTTGCATTAAGATTCTATTTGGTGGAAGATGGTCAATGTGCAGGAATACATGAGCATTTTTTAAAAATATTTTTTCAGTTTTTCAGTTTTTTAAAGATATTTTAACAAGAATACAAATCCAATGTTACAATAAACATGAATATTTTGACTTCCTCCTGCCCTTCTTATATTACATATTTTAGCTTCTGACACTGCATTTTCTTCATTATTCCAGTTATTAGTTAATCCTTGATTTCTCCTTGAATTTCGTTTTAACTGTTTGGTTTAAGTTAACCCTGCTAATCAACTTCTATGTGTACAATAACCTTTCAGATAATCAACACATTTCCCCCAGTCTCTGATAAAGTCTTTCTCCTCTTGGTTCCTTATAGCTCCTGTTAAGCTTCGCCATTTCAGCATAATTCAATAATTTCAGCATAATTCAATAATTTAAACTGCCACTCCTCCTTCGTTGATACACAATCTTCTTTCCATCTCTGAGCGTTAAGCATCCTGGTCTCTGTTGTAGCATAAAGGTAAAGGGACCCTTGACCATTAGGTCCAGTTGTGGCCGACTCTGGGGTTCCAGCGCTCATCTCATTTTACTGGCCGAGGGAACCAGTGTACAGCTTCCGGCATGACTAAGCATGACTAAGCCGCTTCTGGCAAACCAGATCAGCGCACGGAAACACCGCTTACCTTCCCGCCAGAGCGGTACCTATTTATCTACTTGCACTTTGACATGCTTTTGAACTGCTAGGTGGGCAGGAGCAGGGACCGAACAATGGGAGCTCACCCCGTTCTGGGGATTCGAACCGCCGACCTTCTGATCGGCAAGTCCTAGGCTCTGTGATTTAACCCACAGCACCACCCGCGTCCCTGTTATCTGGGAGTAACCCCTGTAAATTCAGTAAGACTTAATTTGGAGTAGACATATGTAAGTCTATTTTTAGTGTTGTTGTCATTTTGCTGTGGATTGCTGTGGATCTGCGCTGTCTGCCTCCCAGAATCACAAGCCTCTCCCCTCGCCAAGCCCTGCTTTGCTGCTAGGCAGGAAGGAAGTTCCCCCACCCCAGGCTGGCACAATTGCGAGGCTTGGCGAGTCCTCGCAAAGCCCTATCTCCGCACTGGGCTGGCAGGGGGCAAACTTTGTAAAGCGTTTCTCCTTAAGAAGTGCTTTTCTCCCCGCTTAGGGAGAAGCCTCGTGGAGCCTAATGACACCCCCCTCCACCTCATTACAGTAGTGCAGACACACCAAGTCTATGGGGCTGGGGCCTCTTCAGCCCTCTGATGTTCCCTGAAAGGGGGTTCAGGCCCCCCAATCATGAGGGGGCAGAGGAGGCCTGGTGGGATGTTGCCCCAATGCTGTGCGGCCCGACGGGATGTTGACCTGGGCCAACCAGCATGGCATGGTGTCTGGTTGGCCTCTGCCAATGCAACAGTCGCCATGCGTGCACACAGCTCTGCAGTGTTGAGCGCAACTCGGCTCCCGAGCAGTGGCAACAGGGAGCATTTTGATTCAAGCACTGAAGCATCTCAGACCACCCCTGATCTTGGGTTTGGATTGCTCCCTCAGTAAGTACCGTATTTTTCGCTCTATAAGACGCACCAGACCACAAGACGCACCTAGTTTTTGGAGGAGGAAAACAAGGAAAAATATATTCTGAATCTCAGAAGCCAGAACAGCAAGAGGGATCGCTGCGCAGTGAGTCTTATAGAGCAAAAAATACGGTACCTTGGCTCAATTCCTTTTTATCTTAGACCTTCGCTAGTTTCTCTTCTAAAAGCCATATTTTAAGGAGCTGCTGCAAGTACTCCTCTGTGAGTCTTGGCTGTACTGGAGATTGAGGCTTGTCGTTTTTGTGATCCACAGTGGTGCGGAAGGCAGAAAGCAACAGCTGGGGAAAGACGGATCCCTTTCGCCATGTTTTCCTGATGGCAATCTGCACTTGCGCTCACATGTACTTCTGGGGACTGGCGTGTAATGTGTGGATAGTGGTTAGAAAACAAGGAATGAACATGCAAGCCACACAATAAGATATCCTTGAAACATTTCGAGTGTGTACATGGAAACCTTTGCACTAGTTTATAATTTTTTTTTTGCACCGTGGCTCCATTTGCCATAAAATCTGGAAACCACTCGAGCTGCAGTCAAACATCCCGATAACTGGAAGAAAGCCATTTGTGTTGGAAATAATTGAGTAGCATTATGATAGGGTTGCCATATTTCAAACAGTGAAAATCCGGACGGAAAAGTTGTTGAGCTGCTGCTGACGGCGGTATTCCGGACATATGGCAACCCTACATTATGACAAATCAGTACTTTATTCTTTTATTTCCTTTTTTAAATAGAAAAGGAGCAATTTCTACCTCCGGTGTGTTGTTCAATGCCTCAACCTTAATCGTCTGCTTTGCAATAGACGTGTTTTGCTTCATCGTGTCTTTTGAAGCACACATTCAAGAGATAGCCATGAGTAAAAAGGCATGGCCAATCAGTACCAGATGCAGGGAAACACTTGCAGCCATGTCTGTAAAACATGCTCATTCATAGTGAAAGGTAAAGGGACCCCTGACCATTAGGTCCAGTCGTGGCCGACTCTGGGATTGCGGCGCTCATCTCGCTTTATTGGCCAAGGGAGCCGGCGTACAGCTTCCGGGTCATGTGGCCAGCATGACTAAGCCGCTTCTGGCGAACCAGAGCAGCACACAGAAACGCTGTTTACCTTCCCGCCGGAGCGGTACCTGTTTATCTACTTGCACTTTGACGTGCTTTCCAACTGCTAGGTTGGCAGGAGCTGGGACCGAGCAACGGGATGTCACCCCGTTGCGGGGATTCGAACCGCCAACCTTCGGATCGGCAAGTCCTAGGCTCTGTGGTTTAACCCACAGCACCACCCGCGTCCCTATGCTCATTCATATCCACAGTGAAAAACAGGTGGAAATCTGCATTTTATTTTATTTTTGCAAAACCCTGGTAAGGGATTGTACATAATCAGAGTGCCCAGATCTCAGGAAAGAATCGTTCCACCCTGGTCTGAGTACTGCTTTTACAGCTTTACTAAGACTTTTTCATGATGCAATAAAAAAAACCAAACTATTCTAAAGAAAAAAAAGAGTTTAGAAAAAGAGAAGAAAAAGAGCTGGAAGAAAGCAAAGTCCTCTCTCACGATATGTCCTAACTATTACCCCACGTGGACAAAGATTCACCCTCTCAGCTCTCACCTGGAAGCGCCCCTTTCTCTGCCCAGCCTCCCACCCTGGGAGATCTCCTTTTCCCTGCCTCTCGCAAAGGTCTTCCGCCAACTATCTGTCATCTCCATTGCAGGCAATGTACCTCAGGCAGAGACACAGGTGGCGCTGTGGTCTAAACCACGGAGCCTCTTGGGCCTGCCAATCGGAAGGTCAGCGGTTCAAATCCCCGTGACAGAGTGAGCTCCCATTGCTCTGTCCCAGCTCCTGCCAACCTAGCAGTTTGAAAGCAAACCAGTGCAAGTAGATAAATAGGTACTACTGCAGCGGGAAGCTAAACGGCGTTTCTGTGCGCTCTGGCAACCGTCACGGTGTTGCGTTGCGCCAGAAGTGGTTTAGTCCTGCTGGCCACATGACCTGGAAAGCTGTCTGTGGACAAACGCTGGCTCCCTCGGCCTGAAAAGCGAGATGAGTGCTGCAACCCCATAGTCATCTCAGACTGGACTTGACCATCCAGGAGTCCTTTACCTTTACTGCAGGCAGAGACATACCAGAATAGGAGGGCAACCAGGATCAATTTGCAGCACATGAGTCAGGGCACTACGCCACCCTCCTGGTTGCAGGGGTGCCAGGATAGAGCAGGCAGAGTGGCACGGAGTTTGCAGGAAGCCCCGGATTGCGGGTGGCAAGTGCAGATCTGTGTGAACGTGCGCCTCCTACTGCCAGGACTGTGCTTTGCTAGCCAATGGCCTGCCCCACCCCAGTATTATTTTTTTGCTGCGTTATGAACATGTGACAACAGATGGTGCTATAGGGCAGTCAGACGGGTGGGGTACAAATAATAAATTATTATTATTATTATTATTATTATTATTATTATTATTATTATTATTCTCAGTGCTTTTTTCTAGGGGGACACAGAGGGACACATACCCCTAAACATTTTGTGAATCTTAAGTTTGACCTCATTGAGGGTCACTAATTCAATATGAGTAGGAAAATGAGAGTATCCCTAAACATTTTTTAAAGAAAAAAAACACTGATGATGATTATTTTTTATCTTATCTATCCCCAATGGGATTTTGCATTGAGAGCTCTTGCAGTGTTTCTTTTTATAGTGTTTTTTATTATCAGTATAGATCCAGCCTTAGTTTGATCCAGGAGGGCCCCTTCTCATGAGAAGTCTCTCTCCTTCTTTCCACACAAATATCTGAGATATTTCCGGATCATATGATTGTAGCTGCAAGAGGGTTTATTGCACAAAATGGAGGCCTGTAAGTAACACAGGAGGCATGATGCTTATGGATATTGTCGTGGCAACTGCACATTGTATAGTTATATGCACTCTTTCTGAGTTTGTCAAAGTCAGTATAGTAGTAGTAGTAGTATAATAATAATAATAATAATAATAATAATAATAATAATAATAATTTATTTATACCCCACCCATCTGGCTGGGCTTCCCCAACCACTCTGGGGCGGCTTCCAAAAAAAATATTAAAATACTGTAATACATCAAACATTTAAAGCTTCCCTAAATAGGGCTGCCTTCAGATGTCTTCTAAAAGTCTGGTAGTTGTTCTCTTTGACATCTGGTGGGAGGGCATTCCACAGGGCGGGTGCCACTACCGAGAAGGCCCTCTGCCTGGTTCCCTGTAACTTGGCTTCTCACAGTGAGGGAACCGGCAGAAGGCCCTCAGCGCTGGACCTCAGTGTCCGGGTAGAACGATGGGGGTGGAGACGCTCCTTCAGATATACTGGACCGAGGCCGTTCTTTTACATGAGACCGTGTAATTCTTTATATCATATGAGATATAAAAATTCACAGCATATTATTCTCTGAAGGAGAACTACTGATAATGATTTACAACTGGTATTTAACTCCGAGTAGGCTTGCTAAGATGTATAAGGCTGAATCAGATAAGTGCTAGAGGTGCAATTGAGGTTGAGGGAACGATTTTTCATATTGTGGTGGGCCTTTGAAAGGGTAAAAGAGCATTAGGAAATAATCCATAATGAATTGAAAATAATAAAAGTACTTTTCCAAAAAAAAACCCAGAGTCCTTTTTGTTGGGGATAATTCAGACGGAAATTCCCAGGTTTCAAAAAATGTTATTTATGTATGCCACTTACTATGGCCCATGTTTCGTTAGCCCCAAAATGGAAAACGAGTGAGGTCCCCACGAAAGAAGAATGGCAAATCTCATCTCT